AAGCCAGCTTAGAAAAGAGCAGGTCTCCATTACGGTGATTCCAAGTTTAAAAACAAATGTGAAGATGCTAACATTTCGTTATCTATAACTGTTTGTTTAATAATCCCGGGTAATAAAATGCACCTCTCGAGGGCTTTGCACAGATAAAGGAATGCAGATCAGTGATAAAGAGTTTTGAATCTAGCTACCACAAAGAGTTTCTATTGTTCTCTTTTGGATCATCAAGGGGGTTACAACAATTTCCAGCTCTTCCTTTAGCATCCTGGGGTCAGGCTTGCACTAAGAGGGTTTTTGCTAAAATCCAGGGGCCGGACTGAGTGAACTGCAGAGGAGAGCGAGGCAACATTTTTTGGACAAATAGTTTATTCAAAGAAAAATGCAGTGTCAGTCGACCCAAAACTACTCACAAATTGGACACAGATTGTTTTGACCATTCACAAACCGGCTGGAGGAAGAGGTGGTGCTGCTGCCACTGGTCCCCACATAACCTTAGGTTATAGCACTCACCGGGGATGGGAGAGACCTAGATTCAAATCCTCCTCTGGAGCAGACCTGAAATGGACTTTTTCAATTCACTAAAAATTCTGATAATTTTCAGATTCGGAACGACCACTGACCCAAACATTCAGTTATTCACCCAGCTTTGCTGCAGAGACCTGAATCAACGGGCTCCTCTTCACTAGAAAATTAGGTCATGTTAGAGGACGACCCGGAGGAGTCATGTTAACCAGCACAACCTTGCAGCCAGTGTAGGCAAGGCCAGGTCACGCTAAACATCGTGTTAGCTCTACTCCTCAAGGTCATATTAACATGACAATAATTTTCTAGTGAAGGGAAGCCCAATGCGATCAGCCATCTGCCACCAGAGTTCTGGTCTAAAATGTCCTGCTGTTGCCACCACCAATTCAGCTCCACTAGCAGTAGCAATGGTGGGAACGCCACTCTAGACAGGGGTCCGGGCAGCCACTGGCATCTGCACCTACAAGGGTGGGATTTTCAAAAGCATGTAGGTGATTTAGGAGCACAGGTCACAGTGTCTTCCCCTGAGATATAGCATTATATAGTCCCACTGTCGTTCCATAGGACCTGTGCTCCTAAATCTCTTAAGCTCTTTTGAAAATCTCACCCCACGTCATCTAACCCTGCTCATATCAGGTCTCCACAACATGGTGCTTAAAACCCCTTGTCTGCAGTAGGGAACCCAGTCTTGTTACCCTAGTATAAACAAGGCCACTGGGTGTGCTTCCAGGACAAGCTTGAACCAATCCAGCACCTTTCGCCAGCGTGAATTCACGTGAAAAAGTAAACAAAGCAAATCACATAGGAAGGGTCAAAGTCCCTGTAAAAGGAAACCAAATCTGTCTGGGATGGTGACTTAGGCAAGGAGTGATCTATGGATGATGAAAGCAGCCCCTATTGTGTTATATGACACCCACATTCAAACTTTTTTGCTGTTTAATATGACTCATGCCCACATCTGATATAGGCTCTGGGAAAAAAGTCTTGAGTTCGGGGTCTGATGCATTCCTTGACCTAAGCCCTTGCAAATGTTTGGCAAACATGCCCTAAGGAGGTTGTAAATACAATGTAAAATACAACCCTGTACGCAGTACCAACACAAGGCCTCTGGCGCCTGTACACTCAGAGGGTCTAATCCTGGCTCTGTTGACTTCAAAGGAGCCAGGATATCCTCCATAAGGTTTAAGTAGGACTTAAGTGGTACATTAGCCTTCTGTACAGGGATGACTTTCCCCCAGTGAGGAAACCAGCAACAGCCATTCCCTGCCCCCAGCAAGCCCTATCACAGATGCCGACAGGAGGGCCAATCCTGGGGATTGTGTGGGAAACAGGAAGGATGCTCTGTGAGGCAGACATAGGGAGGGACAAGCTGTGGAGGTTCAAACTCACCAGATTTGGACTGGCAAGGGAGCCAGCAGAGGATGCTTTGATTTGATTCCAAGCTGTACAGGGCTCTGCTCCCCGACACCTGTATGAACCATGTCTTGCAGGGTTGGCACGGGCCTAATTAGATACTAGTCATTGTCCATCTAAAGGGGACGAGAAGGAAATGCAGGTAGATATACATATGGAGTGATTGGCTGATATTTCATTCAGCCCATCACTGTCATGGGCACCAGTCAAATCTAAAACCACTTCATCCTTCTGCGCTGGATATACAAGTCGCATTGGCAGGAACATCTCATCATGGCAGCACTGCATCAAGCCAGCTTTTCGGGAAGATTGCAGATCGGGGTGACATGTCTGGCAGTAACTAATGGCCCTGTTTCCTGCTGCCAATGCTGTAACAGCAGTCTCTTATTTTAGAGGAATCAATGCTGGGTCATTTGAAATCAAAGCCAAAAGCATAAGAAATTTAAAGTCACTGAAACAGAAAAGAAGCAAAAGTAAGCATTGAAAAATTCACTGCTAATGAGATCATTATGGGACAGAGTTAAAGCCAAAATTAAACGGGATTATAATGTCCCAAGCAAAGCCTATACAAGAGAACGTAAATTATCTAGAAAACATATCTAATCCGTGTGCAAAAATACATACACCCTTACTAGACTGACCTGTGTTAGCTACCCTAGTCAACATTTTCAAACCTGGCTGCCTACATCTGCACCCATCTTTGAAAACAGTGGGCAAAGATTTTCAAAATTAAGGACCTAAAGTTGGCCTCCATGGAAGCTTCTGGGTGTGGAGTGTTTTTGAACATATGGCCACTAGGACCAGATATTCAAGAGCTCAGTACAGCAGATGCATGCTGGATGCTAAGCTCTTTTGAAAATCTGGCCCCAGTTTCCAGTGCTGAACATTTGAAAATCTGGGCCTGAGCAATTTGGAAAGTCCCCAACACTGCAAACACTGACGCCCATGGTTCACTTTGCACACAAGGAGTCCCAGTGACTAATGGGACCATGTGGATGCATGAAATTTAGCACGCGGGTGTTTGCAGGATCAGGGCGTAGTTTCGGTACCTAAATATGGATCTGAGACCTTGACTGTCAGCTCCTATTCTTTAAAACCTCAGCCTTGGCTGGTGTATATAGTTTAGAAACTGACATTATGCAAATTAGTTTGCTTAAAAAGCTAATCACTTTGAAAGGTCAAAACTCCCATTCATAATCGGACTAAACAAAAAGCTAATTAGAGGCCTTTTGTGTGTGTAAATGAGGAAGGAGAATTCTGCGTACTCTCAGGAGCTTTGATGTTCAGAAGGGCTCTTGGCAGGATTAATTCCATCCTGAGGTATTTACTAGTAAAACACTCTTGCAGAGTGAGTGGAAATAATGACACAGAAATGGCAAGAGTTTTAAATGTGTATTAATGTAGCATTAAACTGCCATTATGGATTGAAGGATGAATTAGAGAGAGGCCAGAGCCAAAGCTGGACCTTCGGCTGGGAGTATTGAGGATAGAGCATGGGAGTCACCATTAGAGATGTTAGAGATAGTTAGACATCTTGCCCACCCTCTCTGGCCAACCCCCGATCGGTCCCAACACTGTACTCTATCCAGATCCCCATTACCATAGCATCTGAGCACATCACAGACTTTAATGTATTTAAAGACTCTGAGCACTGCTTTGTCATCCCCATTGTACAGGTAGGGAACTGAGGCCCAAAGACACTAAGTGACTTGCCCAAGGTCACCCAGGAAGTCTGTGGCAGAGCAGGGAATTGAACATGAGTCTCCTAGGCTAATGCCCTAAGCACTGGACCATCCTTCCTCCCCGTTCTCCAGTGCTTTGACCGGTCCATTTTTAAATGAATCTAGCCATGGGGCTTTCACCACTTCCTTTCTGAGATTATTCCAGACCTTGCCCTTAGGAAAATATTCAGAAAATGATTCTCAGAAATGCCAGTTCACTACAGTTGTGGATCTGGCCTTTTGGCTTTATAGGAGCTGTGCTGATAACGGAAACAGGAAATCCATTCAATGACACTATTTTGTGCACACAAAGGCAATATGCACAAAATAGCCACGCAGGAGCTCCACGTCTGTCCAGCCTTCTCATTAGCAGCCCCTGATTTGGTGGGGGGGGTCTTCATTCCTGGCTGACCCAGTGCACCCCCTTGCAGGTGGGCGTGGTATTGTGGGTGAGCACTTACTCAATTTTTCCCTCTTCCAGGGTATTAACTGCTCCAGACAGTTAGATGCTAAACCCGCTTTCGGAGGGCCTCATTTATTAACAGAAAAGCCGACGCAGGACACAAACAAAGCTTTCACCCCAACATCTCAGCTGGAGACCAAGGCATTCTTAATCCATCTGTCCCCCACCTGCATCCAGTTCTCGGCTCCAGCCAGGCTCTTCACCGGGGGATCTCTCAGTTCCAGTCTCTGCCCCTGGTGTTAGGCTTCCTGCCTCTGGAGTCAGGAGTCCGGGGAGGTCTGTCCCCTGTCGCTCTTCTCCATGAATAGTGGCTGATCCTAGCCAGGTTGGGCTTCCAGCCGGTGTCAGGGGCATCCCTGGCTGAGACCAGGCCCTGCTGCCTGCTGACTGCAGTCCTGCATCTAGGAGGTTCCCCCCTTCCGCAGCACCAGTCTGGTGGGGTCCCCAGATAACTCTCACTCTAGACTCTTCAGCAGCAGCTTCTCCTGGGAGCTGCTCTGAACAGGAGCTTCATGTCTCCCTTGGGGGCTCCCCTCTAACTGAGCTTGGGGAACTTTTATCAAGTCCAGGTGCTCATTTACTAACCTGCCCTCCAGGGGCAGACTGGGCACTAACTCCCCATAAAGGGCAACTGGCCTGTAACTGGATGCCTCAAGTTTGGGTGGCTGAGGAGAGTCAGTAGAAGTCTCTAAGGGTTACGTCTATGCTGCAGCTGGGAGTGCGCTTCCCAGTGCAGGTAGACAGAAACGGGCTAGCTCTGCTTGAGCTACGGCGCTAAAAATAGCTGGGGAGGTGGGGTAGCACAGGTCAGGGCTCAGACTAGCCCTGCAAGTGGAAACACGCCCCAGCGCCCTGAGTGCGTATTCAGGAAGATAGGCCAAGCAACAACAATGCTGCTATTTTTAGCTCACACAGACCTAGCATGGCTATCTAAGTGGGCCGGGAAGCACACCTCCAGCTGCAGGATATACATTGCCCTAACTGCAGTCCCTCGCTTTAGGTAACCAAGCTCAGTGGTGTTTTGGAAAATGTAGCTGTTAGATCCCAAACCTGTTGAAAGTGACTTCACTGCTGTCTCAGGGTGCTGGGCCCCAGCTTGCAGGATTGGGACCTAATCAGGCTGTATTTGCATGAAGGCCGAGTCAGACACGCCCACGAGTTTGGGATGAGGCGAGTCTCAGCAGTCAGAGGAAAGGCTTTTGAAAAGAAAAGATTAAAAACATGGGGCCAGGCAGAAGATAAACTATGCTGCTGTCATTCTCCCAACAGTCCAACTCACAGCCCACAGACTGCTGGGGACTGCACAGGCTGGGATGGAGAACGTTGATGATCCCCTTGAAATGGGTTTTCACACGGGTGTAGCACCAGCCTTCCAGCTCTCCCCAGCTGTCATGCAGCGCTGTCACTCCAGCTGTTACACAGCAATGGATTCCTGTTGCCAAGCTATGGATTTGGTTTTAATAACAGTTAGTGCAAACACTGTAAATTTACTGCTGCTAGAGAGAGTTTTTGAAAACGTCCAACTCTGGCTATAATTTTTCAACCGCACCAGCTGTTTGCGCTCTGTTCATACCTGACATGGTGCTTTGAAATAGCAATCACTGTATTTATAAGAAGGGAAGGACTCATAAATATGTCAGGAGTGGAATATACAACGCCATATTTCACCATTTTCTATTTTAAAATTGTGAGTTATGGCTACAGAAATGTGGACCCATTAAAGGTGATATGATGTATTTTGTGTCTTGTTCAGGAGCCCATCCATCATTGAGACAATAAAGAAAACCGCACTTACTTTTTTCCCCTGTCGTCTGTAATTTATGATGCCCAAAAAGCTGTAACCTTTTGGCAGGCTTTGCAGAAACTGCTGCACTGTTAGCAACTAAATAACCTTTTATAAGGTTTTAAATGTGTTGCTGCAGTCTCAATGCACTTGCCATATCGATCCAGAATATCCTGCAAAAAAAAAGGGGGAAAGGAACATGATCTATAACAGGATCGATAACGGTATATAGATTGTTGAAAGATGCTTCTAATGATTTTTGCCAGCCATCATCTCTGTGTGTTGCTCCCCGTCTTTTAGGCTTCAGCCTTCGCTCAAATTAATTAACCTTGCTGAGGCTCTCTGTGCTCCAGCATTAGTACAGCAGAGACAGGGAGCAATGCAATGTGTTTGCAATGGCATATTTGCAGGCTGGAAATGAACCCAAATAAATAAATAAAAAGTAATTAATCATTAATGAAAGGCAGCAAATAGGGCACTAGTCAGGAGAGCTGGATTCTATTCCAGCTTTGCCACCAATCTGCTGTTTGACCTTGGGCAAGTCACATCCCCTCTCTGGGCCTCAGTTTCCCCTCCCACACCTTTGTTCGTGTTCTCTATTTAGACTGCTGTTTTGGGGGGAAGGGTCTATCTCTTGTTATGTGTCTGTACAGCACCCAGCACCATGGAGCTCAAATCTCATCTGGGATCCTTAGGCCAGTGGTTCTCAACCCAGGGTACATGTACCTCTGGGGTACTCCGAGGTCTTCCGGGGGTATGTCAACTGCTCTAGATATTTGCCTAATTTTACAACAGGCGACATAAAAAGCACTAGTGAAGTCAGTGCAAACTAAAATTTCATAGACAATGATTTGTTTACACTGCTCTGTATACTAATGCACTGAAATGTAAATACAATATTTATATTCCAATTGATTTATTTTATAATTGTATGGTAAACATGAGAAAGTCAGCAATTGTTCAGTAATAGTGAGCTGGGACACATTTGTATTTTGATATCCGATTTTGTAAGTTTTATGTTAAGATACAGCATATTTTTCCAGACTCTGATTTCTCTAGAGATAGGCCTGAGCCTCAAAGAAAGTGCTGAGCACCCACACTTTGAAAATCAGGCTATTTAAGGTGTCTCATGCTGGGCACCCAAAATCACTAGCCTCTTTTGAAAATCTTGGCCTGGTGGAATTCTGCTGCTAAGCTAGGTCCACTCACAGACCCACTAATTTGTAGACATAACAGATCCACTTTACGGGGTTTAATTATTAACACGAGACACTTACAGGTTTTCAAAGTGCTGAGTGGAAAGCAATTATAAGGCAGAAGTCGCCTGGTTCGCAGAGCTAGTCAATCAAATATAAAAGAGAATACAAAATGAACTGAGGAAGCATGTAGCCATGTATTGACAGTACACTGCTCCCATAAAGCATAACTCCGGTTACTGTCCCTTTGTGAATTGGTCTCTTTGTCATTTATGTTCTCCCCCCACAGCAGCCACCAAATCATTATTAACATTATAAATAAAATGAGAGGGCAAGTTATTAAATCTAAAATATGTGGAGTTCTCCTAGAACTCACTGAGTAGTTCATAAATATGATGGCTTAATTTCATCTGTAATCCAAATGGCTGATGAAGCATTACACAGCTCTCTGTTAATTGAAGTTGTTAACAAAGCTGAAGAGAGAGATTATTATGTATAGACTTTTATCCTTCAGGGGTATCATCATAACAGATCATAAATGGAAATGAATTCATTGCCGTCACATGCCACTGCAGAATCCCTGAACACAGTTTTAACTGAAATGGATAGTCACAGACACCCAGCAAGTTTGGCGGATACTGTGCTGCTGGAAGCAACGTCTTTTGGATGGAATGTAAAACAAAGGATTTGGACCCTCGTGGTCGTTAAAGTTTGTGAAGAACAAGGTTGCCAGCCCCATGTCTTGACCAACTTCCTTTCTCTCTGCTTATCTTAGCCCAGAAGTTTCAGATGAATAAGGTATTCTCCTTCATTTACTATCCTAAACCCCTGTGAGCAAACAGCTGCTTCATTCCATCCCACACATAGCTGCATTGCAAGGTGATCCTGTGTAGACTTGGTCTATCAGACTGTGATGTTTGAAAAGCTCTTTGAGACCCTTCAGGATGAAAGACTCTATAGAAATGCAAGATCATTGTCATTACAAGGAGTGTACAATACAGGAGTAAAGATGGAAAATCCATTCCAACAGCCCATATACCCTGACAGAACTGTCCAAATGCAATAGACTCCTCTGAGTTCAAACTGGTTACTCTACTCCAGAGCATAAGCCAAGTTTCTGTGTTCATTGCATACAAACAAAAAACTAGCACATTTTTCCAATTCATAGACAAATGGTCATTATTATCCCCATCTTAAGTGTCTATATTTTCAGCATGTTGCTTACAGTAATAATTGTTTCACTTCTGCAGTAATGGCTTGTTAGTGATGAGCTATTTGTTTTATGGAGAAGAGGCTGCATGCTGTAACTGAGTATTAGAAGTTTATTGATACAACTGTACCTCTTCCAGAAGCTTTTGAATCTTTGTTTCTTAAACTCTGATTCCTTTGGGCACCAGGAGATATTCCAGACACCGAGCGCATGCACATGCCACCAGAAAGCAAACTAGCTAATCTAATCCTGCCCATCTCCATAGGATCTATAGCTTCTATTTCTATAGACACACATGTTCTAACCACCTAATGGAACATCTTAAGCCTTATTTGATGTGTTGCATTTATATAGCTATCACGGATTCATATAGCTATATTGCTGTAATAGAGAAAGGATGATCTTCTAGTTAAAGGACTGGACTGGGAATGGGAAAATCTGCATTTCAGTTCCTGGCTCTACCACAGATTTCCTGTATGACCCTTGGACAGTTACTTAATTATTCTGTGCCTCAGTTCATAGACGTTCATAGAATATCAGGGTTGGAAGGGGCCTCAGGAGGTCATCTAGTCCAACCCCCTGCTCAAAGCAGGGCCAATCCCCAGAGAGATTTTTGCCCCAGATCCCTAAATGGCCCCCTCAAGGATTGAACTCACAACCTTCCTCATCTGCATAATAATTAATAATGTATCAGACCAGGAACTGCCCCTTGCTCCATGTACATACAACACATAGCACAATGAGGCCCCAACTGGGTTGGTTGTCACCCCACCCCACCCCGCATCACATATACACCCTGCAAAACACCACACTGTCCTGTCACAGGGTCTCTAGCTGGGCCTGTAAGGGTGATTCTAATAAAGAAATAATATTGCATCACAGCCAAATGAGTAAGCAGGGCATTTCTGCTGGTGGATCCAGGACACAAGGAAATTATTTAAATGGGGGGGGGGAATCTTTCCCTTCACTTATTTAAAGAAACACTCCTGTACCCTATAGTAATGGTTCGAAGCACTTTCCGTTCACAATGGTTATAGCTGGTGGGTTAAAGGCCAGTTTTCCCATAAAGTTATTGGCTCTTAAGAATACGTGTGTCTCAAAGTTTCAAAATCCAGTCCTCTCCCCACAGGGATTCCTCTTCTGGCCAACTGCAGCTTGTGTGTTGGGCTGTGACTGATCAGTGAGCAGATTTGATGGGTTGGATCTATACATGGCTTTGCATCCCACAATGGCCAAAGGCCCCTCCCCCACCTCTGTGCACCCTACTTTGAATTCTGGCATGGAATGGGATTCAGAGGATCTGCGCCACCCCATTGTCCCCATTCGTACTGCCTGAACCCTAAGGTTTAATATGGAGCACAGCAGCCTCTTCGCTGTTACTGCTGCTACTGGTCTGCCATTGTATTTGCAGCACTGCAGTATGTATTTCTAAGCTGCGCCTATTTCAGGTGGCGTTATGAAAACACACAATGCCTGGATCCCGGCGGCTTTTTCCATCCAGCACATTAGCCAGGAAATTCTCCTCTATACCTTGGAGGACTTACCACGATTATCTGGAATGTGTTACTTGCACACAGCAAATGCAAATTAACATCGTCTTCACATTTCGCTGGGGCAGTAAAGGGGGATGTTGACATCAGCCTGAAAGTAGAATTAGCTTTTGCATTATGTGGTGCGAGACGGAGGTGTTGAAACCTGCATGTGAGACTTTCCAAGTTCAGTAAAGAACTGTTCTGGCAGCACTGCAAAAACATTGTACGGCTTCCAAAAGCCAGAGGTAAGCTGAGCAATCTCTCTGTTAGAGGCTGTATTATTGCTTTTGCTGGCCTTTCAAAACCCTGCCATTTTGTCTAGTTACTTCTAATGTGCTGCTTGGTTTAGTGCAAGCTCATCTCTTTAAGAAGAACAGAGTTACAATGCTGTCAGGCTCGGCTACTCTCTGATAAAGAGCTGCTTTAGTTCCTAGCAACATTAGCCCCCAATTACAATCTCTCTAACGACATTTATTTTATAACAACCAGAGGAACACTTTGAACTAGACTAGACGTGGACTGTAGGGACTACTCTGGGAGTCAGGCGGTTGCAGGGCAGTCGGGCTCAGTGGTCAGAGTTCATGCAAGGGGTCTGATCGCCAGGAGATCCAATCCAAGGGGAAGGTACAGCAGGGCAGCTGGCAGGGTCAGGGGGTCCACAGAGCAAGGGCTTGTTGCTCAGACAAGGGCAGAAGAGAAGCAGGAAGTTTTATGTATAGTCACCAGCCAATGAAGGCCAAGACCATGTGGCCAATCAGGAAGCGGGTCACGGAACCCCAGAAGCTGGACCACCCACGTCTGTGAATTCCCTGGTAATCTAATGTCTTGGTGTGGCACGGAGGCTAAGCCTGCTTTCTGAAAATCCAGCGGGCCTGGGTTTGAGACCAGGGTCCTGACGCAATCCGGCACTGGCGGAGATGGGACTTAACACAGACTCACAGAAGTTAGAGCTGGGAGAGATCGATTAACACCTTGCACACAAAGGTGATGTTTAAGCTACTGGCAGCTCCTTAAATCAGGGCACGAAGACTCCATAGTAAGATACAAGACTATGAGCTTTTCCATGGGCATTCATGCACCAGCGTCTAATCTCCAAGATCCTGTGCCCAGTCCTGGCAGGGATGATCTCTTTGGCTCTTCCATCGTCCTGGAGGAGATGTTCTCAGGACCCCACCGTGATGTAAAGATGCTGGAATACTAACTCCATCCCACTGAGGGTATTTTCTTATCCCCTGGAGATCAACACTAACATTTGTGAAACAAGGTGTCTGGTGGTTTGGGGCACCCAAAATGAAGCAGCTTAAAGGGGACTGATTTGCAGACAGTGCTGAGCCCTAACCCTCTGAAAATCAAGCCTCTTTAAGGTGTCTCAAATTGGGAACCCAAAAATTCAAATCACTGTAGAAAATCTTGGCGGGTAGAAGTCAAATACTTCATGCTTTGTCAAGAGCAGCTGTTGCAGTGAGTGCTAAGCTCTGGCCCTGCCCTTTCAATGTACCGAGGACTTTCATAGTGATGGTGGAATGGACATGTATCTGAAGCCATGGCAGGTCAGGGTTTGACTCCGAGCCTGTGAATAGTGTTGGGCAGCACTGCCAATGGGCTATTTTCCCACAAAAGTAGGTCAGTTTCAGTTTTCCACCTGCTGTTTCAGAGCCGTCAGATGTGTTGCGGGTTTGACGTTTGGCTCTTTCACTAATTACACTGAACCGCTTTACCAGACATGCTGAGAGGGCAGGGGCTAAAGGGAACAGCAAGAGCAAGACACTTACAGGGGACAGGCTTGTGAGGTCAAGTAGCCTTTGCTTGCCTGGCAATTATAGTCTGTCCTTCTCTCGAGGCAGAGTTTTGAGAAGAAGGGTAAATTAGGCTGTGTGATTCGAATGAACCCTTCATCTGCCTTTGCCTCACAGGCAGTCTTCAGCACCTGCAAGACGAGAGGCTGTTTGGGGAGCAGCCTGTTTGGGGATCCCACATAATCCAATCCTTACCTCTGGGGAGGCCTCCCACTGTCCGTTTCCACCCTGCCCAGAAGCAGGCAGCAACTTATAGGAAAGATCAGGACCCTGTGTAGGAGGACTCAATGATAAGTCTACGGCCATGGTTCCTACATAATGGGGGGACCTGACAAGGAACAGTTTTAGTTTTGTTTTTACAGCATCAATTGGAAGGTGCCATTGCAAAGAGCAGGAGAGTTTGCTCTCTGCCTTAATTCTCCAACTGTTAAGTTCCTGGGGCAGAGTTGCTTCCTGGATGCCAGGCATTGGTGTTTTGCCTGAGATTCCTGAGAGAGGGGATTGCCTGGGTGTCATTTGTGACCACATCTGTTCCAGGACTGGTGTATATAGTGTAAATAAACAAGTTACACTAAGAAAGAACAGAATTATCAGACACACAGATAAACATGATAAGTTGGGGAAGAGTCAACACTGCTTTTGTAAGAGGGAAATCATGCCTCACCAATCTATTAGAATTCTGTGAGGATGTCAACAAGTAAGTGGACAATGGTGATTCAGTGGATATATTGTTCTTGGGCTTTCAGAAAGCCTTTGATAAGGACCCCCACAAAACACTCTTGAGCAAAGTAGCCAGTCATGGGATAAGAGGAAGGTCGTCTCATGGATCAGGACCTGGTTAAAAGATAGGAAATAAAGGATAGGACTAAATCATCAGTTTTCACAATGGAGAGAAGAAATAGTGGGGTCCCCCAAAGATCTGTCCTCGCATCTGTGCTGTTCAACATATTCCTATATGATCTGGAAAAGGGGGTGAACAGTAAGGTTACAAAATTTTCAGACAATAAATACTTTGAGTGGTTTTGTAAGTCCAAAGCTGACTGCGAAGAGTTACAAAGGGATCTCACAAAACTGGGTAACTGGGCAACAACATGGCAGATGAAATTCAGTGTTGATAAGTGCAAAGTAATGCACACTGGAAAACAATCACAACTGTACATACAAAATGACGGGGTCTAAATTAGTTGTTAGCACTCAAGAAAGAGATCTTGGAGTCATTGTGGATAGTTCTCTGAAAACATCCGCTCAGTGTGCAGCAGCAGTGGAAAAAGCAAACAGAATGTTAGGAATCTTTAAGAAAGGGATAGATAGCAAAACAGAAAATATCATAATGCCTCTATATAAATCCATGGTATGCCCACACCTTGAATACTGCGTGCAGTTCTGGTCACCCCATCTCCAAAAAGATATATTAGAATTGGAAAAAGCACAGAGAAGGGCAACAAAAATAAAAGGTATGGAACAGCTTCCGTAAAAGGAGACATTAAAAAGACTGAGATTGTTCAGCTTAGAAAAGGGATGGCTAAGGGGGAATATGATAGAGGTTTATAAAATCACTAATGGTATAGAGAAAGTGAGTAGGGAAGTGTTATTTATCACTTCACATAACATAAGAACTAGGGGGTCAACCGACTAAATTAATAGGCAGCAGGTTTAAAATAAACACAAGGAAATACTACTTCACACAATGCACAGTCAGCCTGTGGAACTCGTTGCCAGGGGATGCTATGTAGGCAAAAAGTATAAGTTGGTTCAAAAAAAGAATTAGATAAATTCATGGAGGATAAGTCCATCAATGGCTTTTAGCCAAGATGGTCAGGGATGCAGCCCCATGCTCTGGGTGTCCCTAAATCTCCAACTGCCAGATGCTGGAAGTGGATGAGAGGGGATGGATCACTGAATAATTGCCCTGTGCTGTTTATTTCCTCTGAAGCATCTGGCCACTGTCAGGATACTGGGCTAATGGACCCTGGGTCAGACCCAGTATGGCCGTTCTTATGTTCTTACGGAAATTCCCAGATTCCATATCACTGATTTCTCTTCCACCAGAAAACCGACCTGTAAGGCCACCCCATCTGCTACTGATCAGCTCAGGGGTGAGATTATCAGTGTAAAAGAGAACGCCTCCTGGTGTGGCCTGGTTGCTTGGTGATTCACGTTCCAGTCTGCCAGGAAGCTATGTGATTGAGTGGTTAGAGACGGGGAGGCAGGATTCCTGCGTTCATTCCCAGATCTGGTTCTGACTCACTGTGTCACTTTGGCCAAATCACTTGCCCTGCTTGTCCCTCACTTTCCCCTTTAGTAAAATGGGGATAATACAGTCACACAGCTCTGCCTCACAGCTGGGCTCATTTCACTTCCCAGGTCCCAGGAGGGGGATGCTGCTGCTGCAGATGAAGGAGCATACCCAGAGCATTCCTCCAGGATGAATTGGGAGCAGTCTTCACACTTTCTGAAGGGAACCCACATCCAACCTGCTCTAGCCAGAAAGCAGGCATCCATCGTAACAATTGGGGCTGAGAGGTTTGTAAATGGGGAAGGAGGGAAACCCAGCGATGCCAGAAGCAGGTGAAGGAAATGAAGGAGCATTATGTATAATATTAAATGTAATGCTATTCCATTTTCCATCTCAGTTATTATATTAACTGAGAACTTACGCTTGCCCTTAAAAGATTCCTGTCACATTTTATGAACGCGATGATCTCAGAGTAATTGGTGCTAGAAATATGTCATATTAAATTACAGATACCAATAAACCTTATTGAAACTCATACATGGTAGATAAAGGATACGGGCCAGATTTTCCATTGTCCCACTCCCTACATAGGTATTTCCATCTGTGCAGAATGGGCATCAAATCAGAGGTAGCATTTCAAAATCTCTGAGCACTGGGGTAAATATCCACACAACTGGTTGTCAGGGTTTGAGGTTCCTTTGCTTTGATACTTTGCTTCTTACCTTGGGCCACCAGAATGTGTGCGTGGTGACCTTCAGGGCCTCATGTGAACCCAAATCACTTTCGCTTTGCACCTTGCGTCATCGTTTACACAGTGTAAATTGGGCGTAAAATGCTGTACCATTCAGATTTGGTAGGTCTTTGCACTCCCTTGCATGACAACACAAGGTGCAGGTCAGTGGCGATTTGGACCCTTTGGCCAACATTTTCACCAGTGCTCAGCAACCCACACTTGGGGCCGGATTTCAGAAGAGCTCAGTTCCCATTTAGGCACTTAAATAAGTTTTTTTTCTCTTACTTAATTGGCCTCTCAGAGTTGGTAAGACAACTCCCACCTGTTCATGCTCTCTGTATGTGTGTATATATATCTCCTCAATGTTTCACTCTATATGCATCCGAAGAAGTGGGTTGTAGCCCACGAAAGCTTATGCTCTAATAAATTTGTTAGTCTCTAAGGTGCCACAAGTATTCCTGTTCTTTTTGCACTTAAATAAGTGGCCTGTTTTCCAGCGATGCTCAGCACTTCTGGTGTGTGCTGTGTGCTGAGCTCTGTTGACAATCCTACAAATCCAGTCTTTTCTCCCAGGCTTTTCCTGGTTGGGTGGGGCTGAATAGGATTACTGGAGTTCTGGGATGGAGATTTTGGAAGGAATTTATGCTATCGAGACTTGCCCTGGGACTGATTTCAATTATACCCTGGATGTTTATTGAAGGCATTCGTTAATTATTGTCTCACTATTTCCTTGCGCTCCCTCGTCTATCTCCATCTGTCTCTTGACTGTAATCTCTTTGGGGTAGGGACTGTCTTTTTGTTCTGTGTGTACACACCTAGCACAATGGGGTGCTGGTTAATAACTGGAGCTGCTAGACACTACCACAATAGCTATAATAAATATCAATAATTAATAATAATTCCCTTGTGCTCAGAGAGCTGGGGGTGTCAGATGGTTCTGGGAGTGCCCAGTCTCCTGACTCTCAAAAGGCTTTTCACAGGAATCCCTTCTCAAACGTTGCTGTTGCTCTGTGATTGGGTTTTTAAAACTGCGTAAGTGCTGGAAGAACTTGAGAGGGACAGTAATAAACCAGAGTAAATAACAAATACCTGTAAATACCCACACACCTGAATAGGACAGAACACTTTGCTACAGGAAAGTATAAATCAATCCATTTGATAACCTTCACCTCCAAAGCAAACAGAGGCATCTCCCAGGTGCTTTGGTTATCCCTTGGCTGGAATGTCGGTCACCTGCCAAACAAGCTTTTGCTCACAGACTGCACCTTACCTCTACTGGGAAGTTTATATAGGTTCTAATCAGCATGAAAATACATCCTTGGAACTTTAAAAGCTCTTATCGCTTTCCATACTTTACCCAGCAACCAGTATCATGATTTGAGACCACTATTCTCATCGTTCTAGGGTAGGTTGTTTTATCTGCTTTGCCAGACAACATAGAACAAAGTTTGGAGCGTATCACAACGCAGTGTCTGGAGTGGGACATATACACAGTATTACTCATATCCATAATCCAAACAGAGCCTGCAGAGGCCTTTGCAGAGGGCTGGCAGCTTATCTGCTTGGAGGGTGTTGCTTGATGGTGTGGCAGAGCGGAGTGGTAGCCCGTAGGAAAGTGACAGGCATGGCTGAAGTGGGACAGGTGGTCTGAAGGGGAATGCTGGTGGCTGGGGAAATATCAAGATTTCATTTCTCCGTATCAGAAGCGGAATGATGCAGGTCTGGGCCATATTCTGTGTCACTTCCACCAGCGTGAATCCAGAAGATCTGCTGTACTGTGCACGCTCATTTGCACCAGTGCAAATGGGGTGTTAAACACCAACGTTCTGATCTGGTAGCATTTCACACCCATTTGCCCTGGCATCATGGATTCGGACTCCATTAAGCTCAGTGGGCTTACTCTGAATTTGCACCAGTGGAAGGGAGAGCTGAGTTTGGGCAGTTGCTGTTTCCTGGCCAGACTGAGGAATGCCGGAATCCTTTTCTTTATTCCATTCCTGAATCACATACCGATGTCTTGTCTAGATTACAAATTACACCAGTTTCACTAATGGCATGTTTTGTTATTGATTTTAGGTAAATCTGTAGGTACACTTAAATCTGGAGTATTTTAGGTTTAAACTAATTTCAGCACGGCCCACACAGACAGCTTCACCAGTTTAACCAAGGGCTTCTCTACACATGGAATTATTTCAGAATAGTTATGTGAAAGTGGATTAAACTAAACCAGATCAAAGCACTCTTAATGCAGAATGAGAGATTCCACACATAGGCTCTCTCGCAGCGCTGTATGTACTCCACCTCTCCAAGGGGAATAGCTTGCAGCGCTGCGAGCGAGCGTGCAGCGCGGCAGGCTCTGATTACACTGGCGCTGTACAGTGCTGCACTCGCTGCGCTCGGGGGGGGGGCATTTTCACACCTCTGAGCGCAGCAAGTTGCAGCGCTGTACAGTGCCAGTGTAGCCAAGGCCATAGAGTTACTCTGGAATAGCTATTGCACCTTAAATTCACACCCCACCTTAATCCAAATTAACTTTCTAGTGTAGACAAGCACATAATCAATAAAAAACTACCATTAGTGAAAACAGTGCAATTTATAACCTAGACAGAGCCCTATTCCCTCATCTCCTCTCCCCGTCACTCATCAAACAAGACAAAGCTCACCCTGCCCTCTGCACTGCAGAGCTCTTGATACCATTCACTTTGGGTTGCTTTAGGGCAAATGTAACATTGTCCTTGTTAAGAAAGTCAATTCTTATTAAATAGGACATCTTATCAATTTTAAGCTACCAGCTCCTGATCACTGCATGGCTCTCACTTTCTTTTTAGCATTGTTCCTGGGACGAAG